AACAGATCAAGGGGACGCCAATGTGATCGCCGCTCTCAGGTTTCATCGCAGAAGCAGCATTCTAAAAATTGGAAACTCTCGTGTTCGCAAATTGTAGGCCAATGTTTTGGACTCGATATGATGAAGATACTTTCGTCATCATTAAGCGGAACATGGGCCGGAAATTCCACTATTTCCTGAACTCTGTGTTTCCTGACATCCAGTTCACGATGGAGACCAAGACCGAAAATAAACTGCCGTTCCTAGACATACTCGTGCATCGAAAACCCAATGGGAACCTCAGAACGACGGTGTATAGGAGAGCCACCAATAAGCGACAAATCCTGAGTTACCACAGCAAGCACCTAGCATGCCACAAACGGAGTTGTATGCGAACGCTGTACAAACGGGCAGGAAAATATTGCGGTGAGCTGCATGATCGGAAATGCAATACCTCCAGCGCCTTTTCATGGCCAACGGTTACCCTCGAAACTTCATCGAACGCGGCAGGCCGTGTCAACCGAATCGAAGTCCAGCAACCGACCAACCAAAAGTATGGCGTGCGCTGCCTCAGCCTGATGGTGTATCAGTGCAGTCTCCTGTATATTGAAGCCACTGGGTGTTAGCATAGCCCACCGACCAAAGGCAACAATACGACATCTGGTCATGCAACCGAAGGAGCCCCTACTCCGAGGTGAAACCGCAAACTTCTACTGGAGGATCACGATGGTGGTGTCAGCCCTCAAAGTTTTGAGTGCACTCTCCTCTGCTCGGATGATGAGTGCGCGCAATTTGTGCGCCATCACCGAATGAGGTGCTTCGTATTGTTAGATTCCCCAGCTTGTCTGGGAATAGATTCAACCGTTGCCACGAGGTTAATTGGGCAAAAGTAGCTTATGTTGCCCCACTCATATACCCCAGTCCCAAGATTTTTTCCTGCAAAAACGGTGGTTATAGAGTTTGTTGGGTGGGGAAATAGGATAGACAGAGAAGGAAATTTTAAGAAGTAAGTGTTAAGTGAAAAAAATTTAGTCTAAGTTGCTTCTCGCGGCCGCTGGGAGGAGGTTGTTCCGCATGTAAGTTGAAGGTGTGCGCGGCGCTTTGCGCCGCGTACTATACTTATCTAACTCCAGAACAGTAAGTTGGACCACAAATAAGTTGAAGTAGACGACCTCCTAACCAGCATTTAAATTTTTTCGGGAAATTCAAGAAACCTGCAGTTTGTTAATCGGGTTTTCCCGCAAAAAGTTAAATGATAAAAAAGATTAGAAAAATCTACAGATATAAATCAGCAACATTTCTAAATAGAGTAAAATAAAAATGCATTTAGCATTTATTAAAGTATATTCCACTGCGTGTCCCAGTTTCCCGCCCATAAAACCTGAAAAACACCGTTTTCGTAGGAAAACATGCAGGTTGTAGGGATTAACGAGTGGGGCTTCATAAGCTACTGTTGCCGTTGATTGTATGGGTATCCGTGGTGTTGAAGCAAGCTTCGTGTCTCAGCGTTTTTACTTACGTTGGTGTCAGCTGTTGGGAGGACATGTTTTGCACAAGAACTTAGCTCTCCTCTTTCGATGAGTTGGATAGATTTTTCAGCCACTTGCCCATTTCGAAATCTCTTTTCGTCCGTAGATCTCAGGTCCGTTTTGTGAACACCTGCCGCAACAGCATGACTCCATCTTCTGTGCACTGTATGATTGCCTGGCTCAAGAAAATGTTCGTTGTAAAATTTGAGGTATAATTGCGAAGTTTCAAGTTGAGGACAGCAGCCCGTCGTTGCACAAAATGAACAGAAAAAATGCAATGACACCTACTGAAACTATAAAAACCTCTAATATCGACAAATTCACCCATTGCTCATTTAATTCAAGATTCCCCTCATTTTCCTCCTCAGGAAGCTATTACCGTTACCCCTGATAGTGTCTCTCTTGTCGTGCTATGTTGTCTAGTCTGAATCTTTCACATCTTTTTTTGTTCGTTTTATCTAACGGTGGTTTCTTGTCATTAACTTGACTATTGACGATCACATCTTGATAGTCCAGTAATTTCTCCCTGGCTCGTCCTAAAATGCACCCCTACTTAGCTATTTGATATGTGTATGTATCTTTTGAATACGTGTATTAATTTCTAATGCTGGGTTTTTTCAGATGGAAAATGATGGGTTTTGTTCGCGTGACTACGTAGAATTCATCGATGGTCCTCCAGGGTCTGCTAAACCGGTCAAGTTTTGCGGTTCTATTCCTCCGAAACCAAAACGATCTAGGAGTAACATAATGACTCTGCGTTTCGTCAGTGATGATTCTTGGCAAGTAAAAGGATTTTCAGCTACGTTTCACAAAGGTAAGACACCGCCCAATTTCTATAAATTAAAACATAAAACAGGGAAATTCTTTTAAAAAGTTAAGTTTTTAAATTTGAAGCATACCTTCCTAGGTCTGTTCACTGAAACTTGACGATTACTGTCATTCGGAAACGAATGGTGACTTTTCCTATCTGAAAAAGATCATCATAATATATCTTACAAAAATTAATACTTCTCGCGTGCCATAAAAATATCGGCTGGAATAAGGTACATGGATGCACTTTTGAAAGAAAACCGCACTAAGCTTATTAATTCATAGCGAGTTATTAGGAGTTTTGATATATTTGCTTTATTCGAATTGACCCAATTGTAAAAAAACCGAGGCGTTCGGCGGGATTTTAAGTCCTGTAATTAGAGTGTTGGCTTACGGTAAAGGCCTTCTCTGCTACGCCTCGAGCTTTTCCACAATTGGGTCAACTCAAATTAAGCAAATCTGTCAAAACCTTCTTATAATTAAGTCAGCCTAGTAGTCATTCTGGTGGGTTCTAGATGATTGCTAAGGAAATCCTGCTTGCGCAGTCAGATTTCTGGTCCGTATTGGTGGACTTCATACGAGCGATAAAGAAGAGCGGGTACTAGTCGACCCAAGTGTGATTTAATTCATGGCGCGAGGTGAGGCGTTTGTAGCTGAAGTGGTTAGAGCATTGGCTTCCGGTAACGGGCTTCTCTACTGCGCAGGTTCAAATCCCACCGAATACGTGTACACAATTGTGAACTCAAATCAGAACGATTACTTTCGGCGCTCTTGTTGATAGCACAGCAGCCAGATCACGCATACAAATGCAATCGCATTTATATTGGGAAATCGAAAGTCTACGGGACTTGTACCTCGCATGCGCATTCTTAATCTCGCGTAAGCGTAAACGAATATAACAGTCGAAAAAATAATCGATTGTACTGATATTCGAATATCTACTTATAATTACCGCGCATATACGTATAACCTTTATGCATTTGGTTTCACAAACTCCCTATCTGTGCGCAGTAACACATTAAGCAAATGTCGTTTTCGCTACAACCCTTTACGAGGACCACATCCCACTAACAGGAATATGTATTAAGGCTGTTGAGGGAGTGGAAGCTGCGAGACACGAAAATATAAGTTTACTTGCCTGACATTTTGTACTTCGTCGCGAATTCATCACCAGAGTCAATAGCGGAAACAGGGTGTTCATAAAGTGAGGTTCCAATTTCTATAGGATATAACCGCTATGCTGCGACATGACTAAGACGTGTATCGGCTGCCCCCTCCCCCTATTGAGGGCTGTTGCCCGCTCGTGCGCTAATTGACTGATGGCCGTTATGTGGATCATGCCCTGCTGGTCTTTCACCTGTCGTGCTGGATTTGGGTGGGTTTTTTGCTTGGCCATCTGCCTAGCTGGCTCCGACGGTAGAAGCCGCGTTCGCTCCTGCGATTCCCTAGTGACAAATTTGATTGACCAAGCTGTGCTTCAGTAGCAAAATATGGACTTGGCGATGGTTTGCAGGCCTGTGAACTATGACCTAAACGACTCGCGACTAACACAACTGTCACCTCTCGCGTGCATTTTGGGCTCAGCACATTCGAATGGGTTGCCGGCTCTCGTCGAATGAATCGCCACTTGTGCATCCGCGTCACACATCGGCACTGCTGCCGAGTGTTCGGCCACTCGCGTTTTGAGATGTCTTCCAAGTTCTCACATGTGCTTGTTTTGTTAGCAACCGTACCAGCTCGTCTCTATATGTTTTTGCCGTGATAGTGGGTTT